TAGGAGGGCTTGATTCATGTGAGAGTCAAGCTTTCCGGTGAGCTAGACTCATGTGGGAGTCAAGCTTTCAGGCGAGCTTGACTCATGTGAGAGTCAATCTTTCAGGCGAGCTCTGCTTGGCCTTTTTGGTGCAGGCGAGCAAGCAAAACACGCTTGTTCTTACAATTTTGAGCACGCAGGCAAGCTCAAAACACTGGCAGGCAAGATCAATCAGGCAAGCTTTGACCTCCTTGATCATAGGCAATTTTTATTACCTACAGCATATTCGGGTATGCTTGAGGTGGTTGTGCAAAGCACGACTGCTGAAATGGAAAATACCCACCATCACCGTGATGCATGGACTGAGGGGGTTAAGGTAGCGGGGGAGGTGATGGAACTACACCCTTGCCTTTTTTATTATCTCTCCCACTCAATGATGTATTATCAGCCATTACTAATTAAATAGAGAAAGTTAGATAACTAAAAGAAGTAAAACATGAATATATGAATTAAAAGCAAAACATAATAAGTGAAAATAGAGTTAAAGAGTACATATATGAGCATAAATAGAATAACAAAAATCAAAATAAAGTCTATTTGGTTAAACCATGATTATACTTATCACAGTAATCCATCAACATCGCCCAAGCAATGTCATCCCTAAGAGCCTTCCACTCATTTCTTGATTCAATGTGTTCTCTTTGGGTTTTATTTTGAGTAAAATCAACTAAACTATTATCATTCTTATATGCCACCTCACCATCAATGTCTTTATTAAATTCATCATCGTTGAGTAGTTCAACACTTGGATCCACAGTTGTAATAAAATTATGGAGTACCGTACATGCCAATACGATATCTACTTGTGTAGGAAAAGGATAATGTGGCTTAGCACACTAAATATTGAAATGATTCTTCAATATGCCAAATGCAGATTCAATCTTAGACCTCAAGAAAGAATGTCTTAGATTGAATAATTCCCTTCTATTCTTAATGAAAGTACCCTAGAGGGGGTGAATAGGGTATTTACTAATCTAATTGGATATTAATGCCAAATTGAAACTAATTAACAAATATATCATAGCAGATATGATATACAAGAGATATGCCAGGATATACAAGTAAATAATGGATGAAATAAACTATAAGACAAAAGGCGATATAAGATAAGCATAAGAAAAAGAACGCACATGCCAAACTCAAACACAAGTGAATGATCATGGAGTTCGATCAACCATTGACCTACGTCTTTACTCCTCACCCTCGAGGAGAATCTCCACTATATCACAAAGATACTACACAATCAGTTTTTAATACTCACCGATAAATGTTCACAACAGATACAATTGTTAATACATAATACACTCCTCTAGGTGTTGACCTAGCCCGTGTCACCTTCTTCAAGTGCTCATAATTACTACCTCTCCCTATGATTTACAACTGACGTCGTTCCTCTTGGAATTGACCATTTTTATAAGTGTCCTTATGTATTACAATGTGTTCTCTCAACAATAAAGATCAAATACAAAGAATTTATTCTCTAATAAGAATGAGAATGAAATTAAGCCCACACTCAATGTGTCACTAACCACAACCCAAATAATACTTAATGTGAAATACTAAAAGCTCAATAGGTTGTGTGTGCAATTAATGAGTAAACAAAAATATAAACTTAATTAAAATCTAGCTTATAGAAATAATAAATAAAATATAATTGCTAGAGATTGAGTTTAAAAAAACTTCTCTGAAAACAAGAAAGATGGAGATATAAAAATTTGAAACTCAAACCGAAATGATCTCCTTTTCTTATGAAACTCTCTTCACATAAACAATATACTTAATTTTCCTTAAAAACTCTAAAAATAATTTTGTAAAAATATTTTTAAACTTTTTCTTAATGCAACAGCCCAAAGCTAAAAAACAGACAAAATCCCCAAAAATTGGATCTAGGAAAACTAGCCATTGTAGAACTGCTCTCTGATCGGTTGACTGATAATGTACTATCGGTTGACTGATATGGGGTCATCGGTCGACTGATGGCATGTGATCGGTCGACCGATTACATACACAGCAGATTCTAAAATTTTGCGTAGCTATTTTTCTAAAATCAATTAAAAGTAGAAAATTAACTCCAAAAATAGGGAAAATTTGAGGAAGGGTTCTACACATATAGATAAACAAGTTAGAGAAATAATTTCTGAAATACAACTTCAAATTAGTGAGAAATAACTATTTTAAAATAGATATTTCAGATTCTAAAAACTACTGAAACACTTGATTTTGTAAAATCAATCTAACATAGTAAATCAACTCTAAAAATGATAAAACTTTAGAGAATGTTTATACACATGATATTGAACATGTTGAAAAATAATTTTTTAAATTATACTTTCATTGGTGAAAACCCATTTATTTTGTAAATTGTTCAAGAATACAAAATTGTTAAAACTTAATTTTGATGAAACGATTTCAAACAAGCTTGGAAATTATTTTGAACAGATTTATAGACTTATGAAAAAATGTAAAATAGTATAACTAAGTTAATAATTCATAAACATGTTATTTTCTCAAAATAATAAACATGTTATTTTCTCAAAACGGCGTATAATGCGATAAATATGAAGCACATGTACATGTATACGAATATATGTATTTGTTTCATATTTATATGGCTAAAACTCATCTTTCAAAATAATTGTATGGATAAACATATATTTTTGTAAAGTGAGACAACCAATGAAAGCTATAAAACGAAACAACGTATATGTGTGAAATTTGAGCTTTAAACATGACACACAAAGTAAACACCTAAACCTAAAAACACTATACCAATCAATAATCTTCAATATATCTCATCTTGGTTACAAATGAAGCGATGTTGTGATCTTGATTTGAATTATGACGGCTTCATTCCGATATCTGCCAACCTCCTTTGAGTATCATCATGAATGCGCAAATCCATCCAACCTCCAACTGAGGATCTTTGTGTAGAATACCTAACAAACAAATATAGACACTCGATAAATATTGTTAGAAATTATTTGTTAATCATCAAAACTAGATTAGATAGTAGGCTCATAAACATAAAACCTAACACTTAGGTGTTTTACCCGAATGTTCTTTCAAATGATATCGAACACCTCGGTATGGAGAGATGAAACCTTGCATGATTGGGTACTCAGTATCACACAGATAGTATTTGCCTATAATTTTATTGAGAAAATTGTTAAGTAAGTCAAGTTTGAATATTAAACTTAAAAATTTTTAAGTTAAGTCTTTATTTATTTACCATCATAGACTTTCAATCCATGTGGTTGGGGTCTAGATAATGCATCTTGAAGAATCCTATAATCATTTACAGAACCCTCCCAACCTACTAAAACATATGTGAATAGCTTGTTTAGGGTGCAAATGGTAAGCACATTCTGTGTAACACCTTTGCGGCCTCGAAAGCGTGCAACAAGATTAGTCGGAAGCATTGCATCAACATGAGTCCCATCTATCATTCCAATGTAATCCTATATTACATGTATCACACACCTAAATTAAAAATTACTTTCATAGATTATACATGTAAATGTGCGTAAAGTGTAGATATACCTTTAAATAAGGGTAGTATAGCGGGTTGTTAACGATCTCTTGGGGAATGTCATTGGGGACTTGACTCAGGTACCGTCCACGCATGCAAATAATTGCTTGTAATACCTTGTTAAAATATCTATTAACTGTCTTCCCTGCTCTTATAAAATAAGAGCTGACAATGCGATTTTTAGATTTATGACCCAAATGTTCAGTGTCATGATAAGTTGTTCTTCTATTGTTACATTCCTTGAGTCTTTTAGCAGGATATTGTTCCTTATTATACTCGCTAGTTTAACAAAATCATCACTCCGTATTCTAATATAATTTACGCAACTATCACTAAAATCATTATAAATTCGCTCTATGTGTTCAATTCTAGCCCTCTCTTGCCTTTTTTTTCCTCACTTGGACCACTACGAATTGATTTACGTCTAGCTTGTATTCTCCTTATGATTGTAATTATTATAATAAAAATGGTTAATACAACACATAGAACCATATTAACAACACTTTGTTCATCGGAACAATCCCCATCACCATCCATCTACGATGCAAAAATCATTATCCAGTTAGAAACAAAGTAGAATTCTAACAAAACCTGAATGAATTGCAATTTACAAAAATTAATGACAAACCAACAAGAATATAAACTGATATATTTTCAAAGATTACAAACTGATATATTTTCAGAGATATAACATGTAACCTTGTTTATGTAGCAACTGTGTTTGTTTATGTGCGTTGTGGCAATTTTTACGTAACTTAAAAATTGAACAAATTGCATATTGAAGATGTGTGAACATTCATGTGATGTGTGAACAAATTACAAATTATAAATTACTAACATGGATTACTGCAATATCTAAGCAAAAAATATTATAGTAACATAAATAGCAGTTAAAAATATTAAAGATCTAAACTTTTAGCTCCTGAAAAGAAAAAAATGCCTTTCGATATTTTTAGGCAACAGCAAATATCAAGAGCCAACACATCCACCAATAGATCCATCAGATTCACCAAAAAAATATCACAACATCTTCATACTATCTAATAATCAGAAACTTAATCAAATTAAAAAATTTGTAAGCAACAACACCAGCATAGCTCGGATCTAAGATTTTACAATAACATAAATAGCTGTAAAATAAACTAATAATCTAAAAATTAAAAAATATAATTTTTATCTTGATTTTGAAAGCAACAGCACCAACAAAGCTCAGATCTGAATTTTTCAAAGCAACAACACACGGAATATGAGATCAAGGAGGATATATTAATGAATTTCAACTTTGAACGGGAGATTTCTGGTGGGAGGAGAGCAAGGAGGTAACTCTAGCGTCACCAAAGAAACCAACGAGAGAAACAAGAGTGCGATTGTCAGAGGTGGCCAGGGTTTTCCTCGATTTCTCTCAGTTGGGGAAGGAAATCGGGGAGAGAAAAAATCTGAGGTTGCGGCGTTTTCAGCAGGGTTTCTCTGCTTCAACCTAGCTAACCAAAGCGACGAAAAGAAATGGACGGAAACAAAAAATTCGAGGTGGAGGTGGTGTCAGGCCCAGAAACCCGTTTCCTTAGGCTTTTAAAGCGAACTAAACAACCCCTTAAGGGAAATAAGGAGCACAAAGAAACCACAAATAAATAATCTCATGAAAACATCGTTACTCAACAATTAATGCGCACTATAAAACCTTTACTTCAACTTTTTGATTTTACAAATAATAATAAATAAATAAAATGTAATAATCTTCAAATTAGTTAAATATGTCATCACAATTGTTAAAAAATAAAAAATAAAAAGCATAGATTTGTAAAATTATGGGCATAATAACTTTAGAACCAAATATGGTGACTTATGAATCCTATTGTATCATCACAACATCAGCCAAACAAGAGAACACAACAAACTATGTACCAACTCCATATTCTCATACTGATCTTGAGAGTAAATTTCCTCGCACCACCAAAATAACCCCAGAATCAAAAACCGAATAAAAATAATAAAAAAAGTAACCCATATACATATTCCAGCAGCCCAAGGCCCATCTCAATACGGAGGAGGCCTCTTGGACTTCATAGAGATAGAAATCGGCATGGGCCGTCCCGTCCCAGACCCGC